TTCATATTTATATTCATCTTTCTCTTCCTCTTCCTCTTTCCTTCCCTCTTTAGCTTCACCTTCCTCTTCCTCGCCCTAGTCATCTTCCTCTTTTTCTTCATCTTGATCTCTATCTTCATCTGCATCTTTATCGTCATCGCCATCTTCATCTTCATCTTCATCGTCGTCTTCATCTTCATTTTCATCTTCATCTTCATCTTCATCTTCATGTTCATGTTCATGTTCGTGTTAATTTTCCTTTTCAGTTTCATTCCAATCTTCATCTTTATTTTCATCGTCGTTATCATCTTCATCACCATATGCGCCTTCATGTTCCTTTTCGTCTTTCTATTCATTTTCATCTTCATCTTCATCTCCATCTTCGTCTTCAGCCCCGTCCTCATCTTCATCTTCGTCTTCATATTTATATATGCCTCTATCTTCAACTTCCTCTTGCTCTTCCTTTTCCTTTTCTGTTTCCTCTTTCTTCTTCTTCTTCTTTCTCTCCCTCCTCCTCGTGCTCTTCCTTCCTCTCCATCTTCTTCTCCCTCTTCATCTCCATCTTCGTCTTCATCTGCGTCGTCATCGCAATCTCCGTCCTCATCTTCGCCTTCGTCTCCATCTTCGTCTTCGTCTCCGTCTTCATCTTCTCCTTCACTCTCATGTTCGTTCTCATTTTCATGTTCGTTTTCACCTTCATCTTCATCTTCATTTTTCATTTTCACCATGTTCATCTTCATCTTCGTCCTCATCTTCATAGTCATCATCTTCATCTCCATCTTTATCTCCACCTTCATTATCATCTTCTTCTTCATCTTCGTCTTCATCTTCATGTTCATCTTCATATTCATCTCTATCTTCATCCTCATCTTCGTCTTCATCTTCATCTTCATCTTCATATATGTCTTCATCTTCGTCTTCGTCATCATCTTCGTCTCTGTCTTCATCTTCATCGTCATCCTCATCTTCAGGTTCGTCTCCATCCTCGCCATCATTCTCATCTTCGTCTTCATCTCCATCTCCACCTTCATCTCCATTTTCATCTCCATCTTCATCTCATCTTCATGTTCTTCTTCGCCCTCAATTTCATCTTCATATTCGTCTGCATCTTCATCTTCATCTCCCTATTTCTCGTCCTTTTCCTCTCCCTCTTCGTCTTCGTCTTCATCTTCGACTTGATCTTCACCTTCACCTTGAATTTCATTTTTATCTTCATCTCCATCTTCATTTTCATCTCCACCCCCATCTTCATCTTCATTTCCATATTCATCTTCATCTGCATCGTCATCGTCATCTTTATCTTCGTCTTCGTCTTCATCATCATTTTCATCTTCATCTTCAGCTTCATCTTCATCTTCATCTGCATCTTCGTCTTCATCTTTATCTGCATCTTCATCTTCTACTTCATCTTCATCTTCATCTTCGTCTTCATCTTCATCTGCATCTGCATCTACATCTGCATATTCATATTCATCTTCATCTTCTTCTTCGTCTTCATCTTTATCGTCATCTGCATCGTCAGTTGCATCTGCGTCATATCCATCTTCTTCTCCTACTCATTGTTTTTTTTTTTTTTTTTTTTTTTTTTTGTTTGTTTCTTCCTCATTATTCTTCCGCTTCTCCTCTATTTGCTTCTTCTTCTTCTTCCTCTCATCCCTTTATTATCATTTTTTATATGCTTCTTCTTTTTGCGAGGGCCCCCCCGGTCCGGTGGTGGGGGGTGGGCCATCTCGTGCCGTTCCTGACTGCGCGGGTCCTTCTCGCAGTGCAAGTAGTGGTTCGGGCTTTACTTACTCTTCTTCTTCTTCTTCTTCTTCTTCTTCTTCTTCTTCTTCTTCTTACTCTCCTTACTATTCTTCCTGCGACGCCCTCCCCCGTCCGGTGGCGGGGGGTCTGTGCCCTCGTGTCGTGCCTGGCCGAGCGGGTTTTTCTCCCAATGCAAGTAGTGGTTCGCGCCGCCCTCGGCCCACACCTCACCCGCGATCCTGCCCGCGCGCTTGTTGCAGCAATAGCTTGGGGGCCCGTCCATCGGCCCTGCGCCTCGTTATCATTCAGTGCGCCTGCGCGCCTCGCGCTACCTGGCGGCGCCCCCCCCCCTCTCCCCTCGAGGGGGGTGCAACCTTGCTCTTCACGTCCCTGTATTCGAGTGTCTGCGCCGCCAGCATCGCTCCGATGTGCGTCGTTTCTGATGTCTGCCCTGGTGGCAGCAACTCCGCGTCCGCGTCGACCTTGGCCTCCTCCGCCTCTCGGATACGAGCTGCTTCCCTCTCATCGTAGACTGGTCCGTGCCAGCGGCCCGCGGTATCCTTGCAACTTCAGCAGCAGTGCCAGTCCCCTCTTAGATCCAACTGCGCACGCGGACGGTCGAAACCCTCCGTGTAGCACGGCGCGACCGCGTCTGGGTCTCGCCCAGCCTCGGTGGATATCTTCTCCGGGTGCGTGTCATCCAGGAGAGACTGGGCCAGAGTGGCGGGCGGTTTGCGCCCAAACGGCTCCCGCCGTGCCTCGGCCGGGGGCCCGTCCAGCGCCTTGGCTTCGTCTCGGGCCCTGCACTCCGCTGGCGAGTCCAGCCCCGACGAAGGGCCGCCCTTGTTTTTTCGCGAACGTCCAAGGGGAGGGGGAGGGGAGGGGGAGGGGGAGGGGAGGGGAACGAGGGGGATGAGGAGAGGAGGAGGAGGAGGAGGAAGGAGGAGGAGGAGGAGGAGGAGGAGGGAGGAGGAGAGGAGGAGGAGGAGGAGGAGGAGGAGGAGGGGAGGAGGAGGAGGAGGAGAGGAGGAGGAGGAAGGAGGAGGAGGAGGAGGAGGAGGAGGAGGAGGAGGAGAGAGGAGGGAGGAGGAGGAGAAGGAGGAGGAGGAGGAGGAGGAGGAGGAGGAGGAGGAGGAGGAGGAGGAGGAGGAGGAAAGGAGGAAAAGGAGGGGAAGAAGAGGAGGAGGAGGAGGAGGAGGAGGTGGAGGAGAAAGAGGAGGAGGAGGAGGAGGTGGAGGAGGAGGAGGAGGAGGAAGAGAGGAGGAGGGAGGAGGAGGAGGAGGAGGGAGGAGGAGGAGGAGGAGGAGGAGGAATATTTTTAATAATAAGAAGAAGACGAAGGAAACGAACACGAACAATATTAATACATATAATACAAATAAGAACAATATGACGAATCATGACCATAACAACATTAATAATATTACTGGTATGATAGTGATAATGATGCCACTAATAACAATACCAATGCTAATACTATTAATCATGATCATACTACTACTAAACTATCAGCAATCATACTAATGAGACTAGTACTAGTAGTATGATTGTTAGTAATATTACGAACATCACTAAGATAACCAACGCTAATAGTAACAAAAATAAAAATACGTGTAATAATAGGAGTACTACTTTTGAAAAGACGAGGAGGAAGAGGAAGAGGAGGAGGAGGAACTGGAGGAGGAGGGGGAACAATAATAAGAATACTTATAACCGTAGTAATACTAAGATATGGCTAATAGTACTAATACGACTAGTACTACCAATAACAATACCAATAGTAATACGAACAATATTAATATTGCTATTACGAATAAGAAGCATGATAATAATACCACCAACAATGATATGGATAATCATTTCACTAATAATACCACTAATAGCAATATTACGAATTATAAATATCTATACTAAGACAAATGATACTAGTAATATTACTAATAATACTCATAACAATAATGCTATGAATAATAATACTACTCAAAATAATACCAGTGCTAAAACTAATATCAATAATACTAATCATGACACGTATACATAATAATATTCAGACTAGTATTCATTCTGATTAAAAAACTCATAGTAATAACTATAATAAGATTATTCATAATAGCAGTACTACTAAAACTACTATCATTAATAATATTAACAATGCTACTGTTACTACTATGAATAAGAATAATAATACTAATACTCATGATACTAATACTAGTACCAATCATGCTAATACCACTAACAATAATAAACATACTAGTGATACTACTAGTAATAACAGTATAAATAATACCAATAATACTAATGATGATACTAATAATAAAGAATAATAATATTATTTCTACTAAACGTATTTTTAATGATGAGAGTGATACTACTATTACTAATAATCACGATACTAAATAATAATAGTAATAGTAGTAATCGTAGTAATCATGGTAATAATAATAAGAACAATAATAATAAACTAATAATATTACTAATTATAGTAATAATAATACCAATAATAATAATAGCAATAATAATACTAATAATACTAGTTATAGTACTACTACTATTACTAATAATGGTGTTCATAATAATGATGCTAATACTAATCAGAATAATAACACTAAGGCTAAGACTAATAACACGAATGAGAAGGATACTCTGAAGACTAATCCGAATACTACTAACCAGAAGAACAAAAAGACGGAGAGGAGGAGGAGGACAAGGAAACGGAACAGGAGGAGGAAGGGGAGGCGGAGCAGGAGGAAGAGGAGGAGGATGAGGAGGAAACGGATGACGAGGAGGAGGAGGACGAGGAGGGGGAGGAGGAGGAGGAAGAGGAGGAGGAGGAGGAG